TGCTGAAGGCAAAAGGTCAGAGGCGATCCCCATGGTTCCTGGAACAGCTGACCTCCTAAGATGCCCGGATGGATGTCGTGGGGGGCTAGCTGTCCTGAGGAAGGAGATGCAGGCCCTGAGGCAGGCCGAGCAGCAGCTGGAAAGCTGCACCTGCAGTGCCCAGGAGCTTGCACTGCAGAGTAGCCCTGAGCAGTGCTTGGGCATGCAACGTTTATTCATTCTGGGGCTGTGAGAGTTGAACCCACACCCATACCCCTCCTTGACAAAGTTGTGATGGTGTGAGGTTTTCCCAGCCCAGCAGTTCCAGACCAGGACTGAAGGTATGAAGACTGGTGTCTTCAGAGCTCCTGGGAGCCTGCAGTGGCATGTAGCTTCTTGTCCCCCACTCCTTGTCCACTGATGCCAGGTGGATCACTTGAAATCTGCCACAGTGAGCTATTTACACCTTGGGTGGCAACATGTGCTATAAATCAGGTTATTTGCCCCAGAAAACTGGTTGTCACCAGTGTTCTGCTGTCCGGTATGCACCGCCCCTCCCCCTCAGTGGCTGTCCTTGTCTGGGTTGGCCCATGAGTGGCACCTGGTCTCTCTCGCTTTCCATCCCCCAATGCCTGGACCACTCCCAGCGACTCTCCACGGCCTCCCTGCAGCCCACCTCCCAAAGTGTCTTCACCTACCCCACTGTGGACAAGTGAGACCCCGCTCTGGTGGTCAGAGGACACACCCCAAGCCCCCGCCAGCCCTACCTCTGTCTTGTATGCAGTTGCTGCTGTGGTGTCTCATCCACTGCGGGTCCCAAAGGCAGAAGCGGGTTTCCCCAGGCCGGCCCCACACCCGGCATGGTGTTTCCATGGGTGGTTTTATAACCGCCTCCAGGTGTGCCCTCCTGCCCTTTCCCAAGCCTTCCACTCTTGACCTCCCGGATGTTTTACTTTCGGCGTGGCGGCAGGGTCGTTTTCAGGTTATAATTCAGTAAGTCATTTTAAAGCACCTTACTGAAAGGGCCAGGAAGATGCACAAATGATGCCGGGTGGGAAAGAGCTGCCTCAGTGAGGCCCTGGAGAGAGTTCAAGGCATCACTAGAGTACACCAGGCTTATTGCCTCGGGGGTACTGAGGTTATGTTGTGAGCACCTGGGGGGTAATTTCTAGGAATTCATGATGGGAATGTTCTTTGCCCACCTGTTCTTCCCTCACTGTGATAAGTAACTTTTAAAACCAACCTCCAGCCGGGCTCGGTGGCTCAGCCTGTAATCCCGCACCTTTGGGAGGCTGAGGTGAGTGGATTTCCTGATCAATCCCGCCTGGGCAGCGAGACCTCATCTCTACAATAAATTAAAAAATCAGCCGGGCGTGGTAGCGCAGGCCTGTAATTCCAGCTACTCGGAAGGCTGAGGCGGAAGGATCGCCGGAGCCCAGCAGGTCGAGGCTGCGGTGGCTGGGAGCGTGCCACTGTACTCCAGTCTGGGCGACAGAGTGAGACTCCAACTCAAAAAACATAAAAAATAAAAATAAAATAAAACCAACCTCCAAAAGGCACACGTGGAAGACAAACTTCTCAGTTGCTGAGTATCAGCTTCAAGCACTGCTGGATCAGGGGCTGAAAATGATGTCCTAGGAAATAGTCTCTCTGTCCTTGCACTATTGTGTGACCTCTCTGGGGACCTCTCATGTGCTGGGAGATCCAGGCTTATGTCAAGCCTCTGGTCAAGCCCGTGAGAAGAAAGCTGCCTCTTCCCAAGTGAACAAAAGTCCTAGTGCCCATGGTTGGATGATGGGCCCAGCCTGGAGCTGCAGCAGCCTGGAGCTGTGGGCCAACCCCACAGGGCTGGAGGAAAAACATGCCTCCAAGCGAAATTCTGGGTGCCACTTCTTGGAGAGGGAGAAACAGATGCCGAGAAGCAAACGTACTAAGTGCTCACAGCAGCCATGAACAACAAGGTCAGACCCGAATTCCCAAACCTAAGGCCCCTGCCCAGCACGGCGAATGTCAGTCAGTCAGTCACCAACCGTGTGTCGGTGGATAAGGGAGTTGGCCGTTCTGTGTGGCTGGGCCCAGGCAAGGAGGAGCTGCTGTCCTGCTGCCCTTCAAGTTTTGTGGGGACAGTGGGTTCTGTGGGGGTGGGGGGCAGGGGGCATTTGTGATCGTGGTCAGCATAGAGCTCGTCTCTCCAACTCCGGCTTCCAGGGCGGCTCTGCAAGCCCAGGTGTCCTACCCAGGAACCACAGGAGGCCTTCTCCCTGCATCCCTACCCTCTGTGGCCCCTCTTTGTCTCTCACCTCCTTTCTCAGCCAGACTTCCAAAAAGATGGCCCTTCGCCTTCCACTTTCCTCTCA